TGCCTTATATTTAATTATTATTTTCTACATACCACACCTACTTGACAGCTGTCTATTTCCCCCTTTTTTTGTAAGTGTTCTTGGCCCTTTCAGTGAAGCAATATTTTGTTCTCCCTCACATATGTTAAAGTGCAGAATCTCAATGATGTGTGAACTTTATTAAAGGAATGGTGAGTACTAGCAAATGCTACACATAAGTTTAGAAGATTCAAGGTACTTCAAATACAATTTAGTTGTTTCAGTTGTGTAAAAGGTATCAACATGTAAAATAAGACTTCTGAAAGTCATGCCAAATGCGGAGAAGATTCTGTGGGTTAAACCCGTTCACTATAATGCGCTTGGCAAAAGTGCACCTTTCATACTTAAGTCTGCGCACCTCAAAAAGATTACTAAGCCCCAGAAATTTTGTTGCATAAATTGGTTTTACACCCAGTACGTGAAGGCACAACCCCACATAGACATCTTCCAGTGGAATTGGTTGCACAAATCTAGAGGCCCATGATATTTTTCTGGCCAGGTCAGTAGAAAAGACATATGCAGCTCCAGACACATATGGAGGATACCAGGTGTCTGGGTAAAGATCCTCTGAGATATACCATTTGTTGAAGCTGTCCCTGTGAGGAACAGCATCTGAGATGACGGATCCAGAGATGTAGTCTTTCCTGGAGGACTCGCCCTGGTCATGCAGGTAGTCCACCAGGTAACGTACATTGAGAAAGATATCTGCATCGATCTTCATGGCATACCAAGCACCCCGGCAGTAAGTGGCTATCCAGTTCATAATCATCATCGTCTTGATTGTGAGGTTATGGTAGCTATCCACAAAGTCCATTTGAATGATGTCCCCATATTCCTTGCTCTCCCTCTCCAGGTGCTCCTGCAGTACTGGGTCACTTTGTGCGGGCTGACCAATGACAAACAAATGCAAAACGGTCACACGAGGAATCAAGCCATCTTGACCCCATGTCCTTCTAATAGCAGTCCTCGCCTCTGTGTCTTTGAGAGTCACTGGGATCATAAGAACCAGGAAAGGACTCTTCTTCTCACACAGTTCTGGTTGGTTCAAAATGAATCTGTATGTTGACGGTGAGATCACGTAGAGCTCTTTGGGTGTTGGAGTCTTCTTCGGAAGTATTGTTCTGTTAAAAACGAGGATAGCTACAAATGTTATTAACCCAGCTACAGCAAAGTACGTTAAAAGTTTATATCGCGATCGTTTTCCCATATTTAAGCAAAATAACTGCATCACTAACGTAAGGGAAAGTCACAAAACTTAAATGTCATGTTCGCCAGTGTTGTGTCGAAGTCTGTTCCTCCTACGTTTCCCCTTAGTTTAGCGTTCCCGCTACGCAAACAGCGTACAGAGCACGCGCGTGTGCTCGTTCTACTGTTCCCGCTTATCTTTTTGTCATCTTGTAATATTTACTATATTTTTAGGTATTAATCACAGGATCGATTTGAAGGTTTGGAAGGCTTTGCCGACTGCGCTGTATATGTATGAAATACGAATTCAAATAAATGTACAACGTAATGTACCTCTAACAAATATGTTTTTCTTGTGTGTGCTTCTCAATCACAGTTTAAAATAGTTTATTGGTTTTATATACATACATACATATATATATATATATATATATATATACAGGTGCATCTCAATAAATTAGAATGTCGTGGAAAAGTTCATTTGTTTCAGTAATTCAACTGAAATTGTGAAACTTGTGTATTAAATAAATTCAGTGCACACAGACTGAAGTAGTTTAAGTCTTTGGTTCTTTTAAGGATATGTGGTACTTTACCTATTTACTGCAAAATTACTCAACTGCATCATTAGCTTGCATAATTATTATGTTTTTATAAAAAAAATTCACTTAAATGATAATAAAATTTACAAATTCAAATTTTTAGTTGTATCTGGATATTGTTGATTGAACTTGTAGGAATTACAGTTTTAGACAAACAGACTCACCATCGGATTCTGTTCCCCCTTTGTTTCTTATACAGGCAGGTTCTAACATTTTTCAAACTGATGCTGGTAAAGCTCCATCCACATACACTGAAGAATCAGCAACTTCTGAGTCACTACATCAGCATCTCCCGTTACCATTAACTTTCCTTTATTAATGTATCCA